TAAGTCACGGGATTCTTTAGTAATTTTATGAATGAAATAGTTACAGAAAAATTCTTATAGGCATAAACAACACTTGTAAATGATCTCTGCTTGTATAGAGATTCATCAAAGATCAACCATATCAATAGATTGGGAATTTATTGCAAAGCATGTGACATGAAAGAATTATTTTAATCTGTTTTTATTTGTAATAATATCTAATACTTTTTATTAGAAATTTATTATAGATTGCAGACTTTTAAAATTTTATTAACTTTTCTCATCTGCATATTTTAACCAAAAGTTGTTATTGTTGGGTTATGAAGAAAAAAAATGACTTCATAAGTATGGTTTTAATTTAACCCCTAAAAGTTAAGTTCCAGTTTATACGTTTTTAATTGTAATTGTGAGTTTATTCTTGGAATATGTAGATTTATCTGATACAAATGCCAAAGTTTCAAATAACAATTTATTTAGAGTAAAAGTGATATAAAGAAAATGAGTTATGTTCGACAAATATTGTGTAGGTAAATAAATATCTGCTTTCAAAAAGCACACTTTATTCAATGTCACATACATCATTCGGCATGTAGAAGGTATAGCGAAAAATTCCAATTTACAAAACATACTTAAATTAAAATTTTCATGTTAATTACACCTTACAGGCTAAGAGAGATAAATTGTTTATGCTACTGTTCGATTGCAGCTGAAATACAGTCTTTAGCACAGTACACGTCCTAATCTTTTGACTATATTAAGTATGTAAGCTATATTTTCATTAAGAGGGTAAAGGAAGTTACATAATAATTATATCTATAGTAGAAAATAAGGGTTTTTAACTATCTAATATTAGGGTTTTGAAATTTTTTTAAAAATTCCTCAATTTTTGTATCTTTTTTGGAAAGAAATAGCAACTGGTATTTTAATGATTTTGTTAGTTTAAATTGGGCCAACATTCAGAACGTTCCTAAAATGTGAATATAATGTAAGGATTTGTGGGAGAATTGGAAAATATTTTATTCTATATTTTAATTTTTCTACTGACATTAAATTGTTAAAATAATATAAAATCTTTAAGATGATAATCAGTAATCATTCTTTTTACAGTAAGATATTTGAGCTCTCAGGGCTGTGGTTAATCTTACTTATAGTGAGATACTTGATAGGTAATCATAATCCAAGAACTCGGTTCACTTTTAATCATCACTAAATGTTATTATTTTCTGTATAAATCATGGAATCATGCAATCAGGTCCAAATTTGTGATAAATATTATGTTTATACATTTGTGTTACTACTTAGATTGACACACCAGTGATCTAGAAAAAAAAGGTAATTTTATTCCACAATATACAGTTTAAATAAAATGAAAAATAAGTAATGAGAATAGCATAGCAACTATGTTTTTGCTGGAAAGTCAAAGGAGGTTTACTCATGATTTTGTGTCAATATTAATTTGGAGATTTTTCTTTCTTTGACAGATTAAAAGATATCAACTCTCATTCTTTAGGAATAAAGATTCTCTATATATAGGGGTGGGCAAAGTTGTGAGTACACGAAACACAAAGTGTATTCTTGTATTATTATCTATATATATAAAAGGCTAAGTGACCATCCAACCGGCCTGTAGGTATGACACACACTGACCACCATGGGGACAGACGCTCAACACATGGGGCTGTCGAGCTGTGGTGACTTGGCAGTGGCGGTTCTCAGATGATACACCTGGAACCAGAGAAGAGGGAGTCAGATTCTGGGTGTGTCACCCAAGAACCGCCCTCTTGCAATCCGGGACCCCTTGGTGGATGTTGGAGAGCTGGTTTCAGCCCGATCCCCGCAGGCCAGGCCGGGGGACCCACCTGCCAGGGGGACCCCGCTCACTGCACAAATGACTTTGATCTGCAAAGCTGCCTGAGGTGGGGCTGGCTGGGGAGGGACCTCGGGAGCTTGGCTCCAGGGCATGTCTGGCCTGTCTTGCCCAGTCCCGCCCTTCCTTTCAATGTGCACAAATCCGTGCACTGGGGCACTAGTTTATTAAATATTGTATTATGTATTTGTATTACAACTGAAAACCTACTTTTTCCCACCCATGTATATATCATTTTTGAAAAGTAAAAGTGAAGTCATTTAAAACCATTTTAAGATTTATTTTAGTTAGGCTACCACTCTTATGATTTAGTTTTTTTGTTTGTTTATTTTTATTTATTTACTATCTATCCTCGCCTGAGGATAGGTTTATTGATTTTATTGTTTTTAATTTTTTTATTTTTGTTGAAAGTATTACATAAGTTTTGCAAAATAAGGATTTAAGTGTAGCCATGTCATAAGCTATGTAATCCTGTTTAGAGAGATGGGGTATTGTCCCCGCAAGGTTAACTTACCAGAACTGCTTCAAGACAGTAGCTCCAGGGAAATAAATTTTTCAGTGTCCAGTTACCATCCTCCCTAAGAATTACATTGTACTTAAAGTGAAGGTTACAAACCTATGGGCTAATCAATGTCAAAACAAAATTAATATCATTTGGTGAGAAAATTAAGCTAATATGTTTTTATCTCAAGTAGAGATTACTTTGAATTGTTTTAAGCTTTAATTATAAAGTACAACTGATTATCACAGTGCATTTGACTTCTTCAAAGCTCAAGGACTGAGCAGGTACCCAGAGATACCCACACCATAAGCAGAAGGCAGAGATCAGATATTTAGACATTTTCATGTATTGCATATGATTTTCTATAAATCTAAAAGGTTTTTCAATATCTTGTTTCAATTCCTTATTACTCTCAATTGACATTTTGCTCTATAATATTCATTGTCTCCTTATATGTTACCAAGTAATTACATTTATGAACTGCTTTTCTCAAGGTCTCCTTGAACCATCCTTTAATCATTAATAGTTATCATTTACTGCCTCTGAAGTCAACATTTTCAAAGCAAGCATGTATCATCGCTTAATTCATATAACTGTGATGTTAGGGATTGATTTTTATCTAATATACTGAATTTAAACAACGCTAAACATCTAATAACTGGTGCTAAAAGTATGATTTAAACATTTAACCACAGATTTCAAACTGTGTATTTATCTCTTAGACTATTAGTCTATACTTGAACACAATAAAAACTACATATTTACTTAATTTTTTAAAATGGGTATCAGTTTCTCTTATCAAAGATGGTAGGCCATTGTTAGAGACAGCGGGATCACTGCAGAGCACTGCTGCTCTAAGTGTGATTCAATTTACGGCAGCGGAGTAGACAGAGAAGCAGAAGTGGTGGGTGTATAAGAATGAATCTTTATTGCAGAAGCCAGTGGCCACAGAGCCATCAGACAACACAGTCTTTCACAGCAATTCTATATAGGCATCCGTACACTGGCTGGTAAATACATCTTTCCTACAAAGCAGCATTAATCTCTGTACCTACAGCTGTTATCTGAGCAGCCGCACCCTGCACTGCCTCACATCATAGCGGTACCTAATCTCTCTGGCTCAGCAGCTTCTCCTGTCTGCCCTGCCCAGCCCACTAGCTGGTCTCTGTAGCCTCACATAGTAACGACCTCTGAGCTTCACTCTCCCAGCACACAGGCTGGTTAACATAGTAGCTATATCTGATCTGAGAGCTCATAGAGAGCTCAGATGGAGCACTACCAGCTCTCAGCTCCCTCTCTCCAGCTTCATCTTCTTCCCACACTCTCCCTACTAGCTAGTCAGTAAGCTGTATATTGCTCCTTAGACAAAGAAGGCTAGTTGCCAATAGTGACATCAATCATTTCGGTTATAGAAGGGCACAGCATGCCATGAGACGCTGTGGTCTTGGACAGTCCAGTGTATTGACAACAAGGCCTTTAATTAGCCTGACTATCAGGTGCCTCTGGCATGGTTCCACACCATGTTTAATCATTGAAATGGAAATATTTGACAGCAGGTATCTGTATAAACTTGCAAGAGATTAAATCAACAGCCAAGTCAATCAGATATATCATTTTTTCCACTATCCTTTAAATCATTAAGGTTTCTTGGCAGAAGGCTTAATAAATAACAATTTTTGTGTGTGTATATGTGTATACAGAACTTAGAAATAAATGTTAACACTTGAAGATATTGAATAGTCTGGGAAATTGGCACAAGATAAGCTGTAAAAAGTAAACATAGGTCTCATATAACACAGGTGTGTTTTAGGAGCTTACGCTTCACATCACTGTACCCTCAGCTCTTACTCCTTTATGTGTAAAACTTAAAAATTAAAGGCAGGGTCTTGAAACTTAGTCTCTTATGATTAATTCTAACTTAACATATTTTATTGAAGGCTATAATTTTTCCCATCTAAAAAGTCACACCCGCTACTTAAGAGATTAATAAAGGCTTAAATGGAATATATGTCTTTATATGTTATAAATTGCAGAGCTAAAATTTTTATATTATAAATTTTATATATGTAGTCATACATAGCCATAAGAAATAGAAAACTAAACTTTTAGTTCACTTTTAAGACTGGAAAATATTCATGAAAAGCTACTGATATAAATTAATGATTTATTAAGAATGCCTCATAAAAAACAGATTATTATAATTAAAAGTTTTTAGGTGACTCTTAGCTGAGGATGTCAGTGGGTGTGTGCATGCATGTAAGCATGTGCATATATGTGTGATGTGTTCAGTATGCATACTTGTTTATATATGTACATGCAACAACCAGTTGATTAAGTATAGAACATATTTTCACCATTAGATTTGCTTCGCATAATCATTTATGAGTGGAATTGAAAATATTCCATAACAGATGAAGAAATAGGGTATTTTGTTACTAATATTTTTGTTCCCCATTCTGTGTGAGCTGAGTCATGTTCATCTTTAACAGTTGCTAGCATTGTATACTCTGCATTTTTAAAAATTTACTAATGTGTTATTTCTAAGCTTCATTTAATTGAAGTCATAGCGAAAGCATTAAAATCTTAAAAACCATTCAGTTTCTAAAAGGTGCTTCACATGTTTTAATAGGCTTCCATTGTGTGTTTTTGCAGCAAGCTTAGTAGTGGAGGAGCGAACAAGACAGATGAAAATGAAAGTGCATCGATTTAAGCAGACAACAGGGTCTGGTTCTAGTCAAGAACTTGATCGCGAGCAATATTCCAAGGTAAAACTAGTAGTACCCAACCAATAGCCTCCTTTTTATAAATGTACAGTGTGTATAGGACTAGCAAGCACCGAGATATATGAGAGAAGTGATTCAAATGCTAGTCTTGTCTCATAACCCCCTTTTCTTGCTATTTCCACAAAATATAACTTCATTAACTTGGATTTAATGTGTGTGGGTTTTCTTTTTTTTCTAAAAAGAAAATGTAAACACTTGATATTAAAGTCACACAACAGTGTGGTCATTACCAGAGGGGAAAGTGGGGGGCGGTTAGAAAAGAGTAAAGAGGGGATAACTGGTGCCCGAGGAGACTTGACTTTGGGTGGTGAACACATAATGCAATATACAGACGAAGTGTTACAGAATTGTACACTTGAAACCTATATAATTTTATTAACCGGTGTCACACCACACCAATAAATTAAAAAAATAAAGTCACTTAATGATAGATTATCCATAGACAGAATCACATAAATAAGCAAGATAGATAAAACAATTCGATTGATTGAATACCATTTAATATTGCATTTAACTATTAAGTTACAGGTTTATAGTCTTAAATAACATTTTTGGTTGATATTTACTATTGAGATTTGTTACCCAATGACTAAAATTGTGTGATGTGAGATTTCTTATTGTCTGTTTTTAGTAAGATAAGTAACTGATTTTAAACTATTAGAAACTGAAATCCACACAATTCCACATCTCAATAAATATACAATTTATACTTCAATATCATTTTGTAAGAATACACTAAGGAGTTTATAAATTGCTAACCATCATCTAATAATTTCAATTAAATTTATCTTATATTAAATTTAATATCTTATATTAATTAAATTCATATTGCATGATATGATTTATATATATTATCTGCTTTATTCAAAAATCTTATTTTTAGAATACTACAAAAGTGGCAGGAGCTATTACAGGAAAAACCGTGTTATAATTTGATATCAAGAAACCCTTTTGGAAGTTATGACCTTTTAGAAATTAAAAATTAAAAATTAAGTAAAACTATACTAAATATTGTTAGCTTGAAATGTGAACCTAGAAAAATCTACTTATATTTCTTAAAATATAGTTAGCATACAATATTATATTACTTTCAGGTGTGTGACAAAGTAATTCAACATTTAAATATTTAACAGTTTGATCACCACAGTAAGCCTAGTAACCATCTGACATCATACAGATATGAGGATATTATTGACTATATTCCCCCAAATAAGTATATTACCCTTATTATCATTGCAGCATTATTTACAATAGCCAATATGGAAATACACCAGTTGCCCATTGATAGATGAATAAAGAAGATGTGATATACTTATATATATTATAGAATATTACGTAACCATAAAAAAGAATGAAATTTTGTCACTAGCAACAACATAGATGAACCTAGAGGGTCTTGTGCTAACTGAAATAAGTTAGACATGGAAGGAAAAATACCATGTGATTTCACTTATATGTGAAAAGAAAACAAATGAACAAACATAACAGAAACAAAGTCATAGATGTAGAGAATAAACCGATGGTTGCCAGGGAGAAAGGGATTGGGAGGAAGGGTGAAAAACACCTACTTATTTTTAAATAATGGAGGCTGTTCATTATATAGCCAGATATTCAGAGACTAATACAAAAAAGTGTTTATGAAATATGATTTGTCACCAGACTTCCAGAGTCATGCGTATTAGACACAGTATCACTTTACATATTAGGTGAGCTGCAAAAAGATTTCCAACTGAGACAATGCTTATGGTCACCGTGACTCAGTGCGGCCCGATTTGGTAGGACTTTGAAACAACAAAGTAAAATTAGTAAAGCAAAACAAATTAGTAACAAAAATACCTTGATGTTCCATAGAGTTGCTGATTCCAGCTCCACCTATCCTCTCTGTGGTTTATTATCACTCACTCAGCTTACTTGTCTGTCTGCTGTATGGATATCATTATCATTTTTGTTTTCTTTTGCTACAAATGCAGGAAGAATTAGGAGGCAGGGTGATTTAGGCTTTCTTCCTCCTCCGTCAGATGCAGTTATTTGGAAATGTTTCACTGATTTCTTAGCATTATGTCCAAGGATGAGGTCAAATACAACAGCAGGAGGAGATAGGGCCAGAATAGGAGGCAAGAAAGAAGTAAATAGAGAATCAGTATAAAATATTAAAAGCCTTTCTGAGTCATTCTGGATTAGGACTCTAATATTAATCAATTGATTAAAAAAATCTACAAAGTGACGTGTGCTACAAGTCCCAATGACCACTAATACTTATATTTGTAATAAATCAAAAGTAGGTTTATCTTGCTTGGGAAATTCCAAGTTCTCTGGCCTTAAAAATAATTCAGAATTTTTTTTTCCTCAGTGTCTTCCCATTCACAATACAGACTAGGCAAAGGGCCTGAGCTGAGGTGTATATAGGGTAGGTTTACTTGGCCTCCTATTTCTTACAGTCAGTGTGATAACACAGCCTGTTGTAAGCACCAGGAGGCCCCAGAATAATTCTTTATTACAGCTCTTTTTTTTTATCAAATTTATGAAAATCGAGGTTCAGAAGAAAGGAGGCAATACTAAAATGCATGCAGCCTTTCTGCAGAGTGATGAGCCCTGGCACTCCTGACTGGAAGTTAGCTACCACCTTTCCTGCTTTTGCATCACTGAAATGGGCACTGTACTCCAGTTTGATTCAGAGGCTCTTATCCAGTTTTTTGTTTGCATACAATTTAATTATTTCCCTGCCCCCTTTACACAGGCATTCTTCCCCGCCCTCATTTGAATATTAAAAAAACACCACATTACTTTTAAATACATTACTGTTGCTCTTACTGACTTCATAAACTGATGCTACACTATTTACATAAATGAGTATAAGTTATATCAATAAATGTGAGATCAAAGATATATCTTTTAAAAAGTTATAAAAGTATAGGATAGTAAAAATATATAAGACAAATTAACAAATGATTAGTTTTTTATTTTATATGTCAAGTAAAAGGTAAATACTCTTCACAATTCTAATATTCATAGTATAGCCTAATGCTTATAATAAAATATTTAGTTTCCAGTTACTTCAAATCTCTCTCATGTACTTTTTTATTTTTTTCCATTTACCCCAACCTCTTTATAATTTACTCTACAAAAATATGTTTATTTATATATATAAGCCCTGCCAGTGTGCTCAGTGGTTGCGCATCGACCTATGAACCAGGAGGTCACAGTTCAATTCCCAGTCAGGGCATATACCTGGGTAGCGGGCTCGATGCCCAGTGTGAGGTGGGCAGGAGGCAGCCGATCAATGATTCTCTCTCATCATTGATGTTTCTATCTCTCTCTCCCTCTCCTTTTCTCTCTGATATCAATAATAAAAAAAGCTAGCTTTGTTGTAAATTTAATAAATATTTAATTTTGAACTGTATCCCTTTATTCTTTTTTTAACATCCTAAACTATTTGGCATTTTGGATGAAGCAATACACCTTAGTTGAAACTCAGTCAAATTAGAAATTACTTCATCATTCTCAAAATATTTATAACTGAACAACCAGTAGAACTAAATATTTTCAGGGTCAAGAATTACCAGAAAACTATTCCTTAGATGTTACAAACCTGGCATCTCCTTTAAAAGGCTGACTGACCCTGTCATCCATCCTGGGTAAGGAATTAACACTAACTTTGCTTTTGAAAAACAAAAAAAAACAACACAAAACGACTTTGGTATCCCTGAAATGTGATCCCCATGCTATTTTTTTCATTGATGTTACACAGAGTTGTATGCCTCAATGATGCAGTGAAATTCATATTTGAGGGGTGAATTTGTATTTAGGAACTCAAACTTAAAAATAGTGCCTATGTAAACCAGGAACAGCAACTAAAATTGATGTGATGAGCATTGTACGTAGCTGCTGAACATTTATTATTATTCCCTTATAAAAATAGCAGCCCTATAATTAGAGCCTCTCCTACATCAAGGACTTACTTGCCTGCTGTGTGATCAGCATACATTCCTCCTGAGGATATTATGTTTCTCAAAATATAATTCCATTAAAATATTTAATTTTTAATTAGGAAATGTAACAAGTTATGATTGATAAAAAGGCAAAGTTATGATTTAAACTTTTAATAAGACTTGAAAATAAATAAAGTAGTAAAAAAGTAAAGAAAACTGTGATCTCATTTCAGAATGATAGATCATTCCTTACCCCAGTATAGGAAATTTTAGTATGTTCTACAGTCTTTTAAAAATCCCTTCCTTTTATCTCTTTGCTGGAATATCAAAGGTTATATACAAAAAGGTTAAGGCAGAGATGGCTTATAGAAAAGGAGACTTCTTAGCTGAATAAATGGTGCCATGTACACTCATATATCCTTATGCCATAGTCTATACTACTTATTATTGACATTTGTCAGGTAAGAGGAGCATTTGTTAGGGGTATGAACACAATGCTAGAAAATCTGTTGCTGCTGGGTGGATTTTTATGGTTTTAGAGCCCAGTTCTTCCTGTACTCTGTCACAGGCAAGCTATTATTTCAATATGGTTAGAAACATTATAATAATTGCATAATATATCTACTTAGCAAAATAGTTTCAAAAACAAATAATATGAGTTGTATTTATACTCCGGTAACAGTATTAAATCCAGGTTCTACTATGTGAGTATAATGAGGTTTTACCACATCTGCTCTGTAAATAAAAACCAGTTCTGACTGAGATGAATTATGTCAGTCAGGATCATGCTATGATCACAGGATTTAGTGATAAACCTTATCACATTACTTTGCATACATTATCTTAAATCATATTACTTTCAGAACATACATGAAGTTGTATAAATAGCTCAGTTCTGGACATAATATACTTATTAATTTTCTTTTGGGTCATGCATACAGCTTTCAAAAAATCACACAGTTCTGAAAAATTCTTTGGAAATATAATTTATGGATATTCTATAAATTTGGAATTGTTTTCATGTCCATTACTTACACATGAGAAATGAAAAATTAAAACTAACATTTAATTGTCTTAAGCCTGAACTACTCTGATGGTAAATCATGTTAAATAAACATGATTCCCGTCGTCTAGGATTGTGTTTTTTTTTTAAATATTCTATTATACCTTTTTTTGTATATTCAGGATCAGGTTTTAGCATCAGTTTATGTTATATACTTTAGCAAAACAATTGTTAAACAAATTTTTAGAAATCTAGTGTTTGGATTATTTTTAGATTCATTAAAAATCATCTAATGTGGAGAATCAGAGGATGGGTGATTTTTTTCTACAGGCTTAACAAACATTTCACACCTTAACACATAAATCTAAATTTCAATAGCATGATAAGAAACTTAAATACTCAATGTTTAGTCATGTGTTTATTTTACCTGTGTGTTCTTTTATATAAGAAATTATCTGATCTTCCAATACCTAACATAAGGGAATCACTTATATATTAGGTATTGTCAAATTATATATAATCATATAAACATACAATATTTATAATTAAAACATTAAAATAGTATGTAACATTATCCACTGTGTGATCAGTTACAATGAGACAGGGACATAGAAAGAGGAGTAGATTAACTGTTTTCATAGCTTTTCATGTTTTTAACCTTTTTCCTAATGATTCTAAAATCTTAGGTATTGAATACCAAAGACAAATTTAAACATTTAAATATAAGCTAAAGTGCATGTTGAAACTTTAATAGGAATCCCATTTTTTACTTTTTGCAGAGTTGATAGTTTACATCAGAAAATGTCTAAGCTATAATAGAAAGTTTAAAAGCAAAGTCTACTTTTTGCTGCCATTGCTTTACTCCTCTTGGGCACAGCCCCTAAGTTGTAATGTCAGCCATTTTTGTGAAGAGATACACTTTTTGAAGAAATTTGAAAGAGCGCACTCTCATAGAAAAGGGAGATGTTTAGGTAAATTGAATAGTTTTGGAAAGAAACAAGAAGTACAGACAGATGGAAGCGGTCTATACCATGGAAAGAATAGAAAGTGAATAAAACAGGCAATCATGAAAACTAAAGCAAGAAAAGAGAAACTGATGTACTAGAAAAAAACAATACAATTTGAGGTTTAAAGCATGTACAAACAATTCAATGAGTTTTCCACCCAAGCATTTCATTTTTGTGTTTAATTTGTAATTCAGTCTCCAGAAACATTCCTTACCACTCAAGGGATGTAGGAGTTTTCCATTGGAAATCATATATTATGTTAACATTTGGATTGTTTTAGATGCCACACCTACTTTTACAAGGATACACATTTGTTTGGTGTTGGCTAAAGAGTCATTATCCTCACCGTGTATGTGTCTGTTTCCCCGATCTGATGATGGAGCTCATGCTTTCTTGTTTTTAATCTTTAGTATAGCATACATAAAGATCAGTACAGAAGCTGTGATAACGTCTCTGCCAAATCATCAGATAGTGATGTCAGTGATGTGTCCGCCATTTCCAGAACCAGCAGTGCCTCTCGCCTCAGCAGCACAAGCTTTATGTCAGAGCAGTCTGAGCGCCCCAGGGGTAGAATCAGGTGAGTCAGCAATACTGTTTCTATAAACTGGGTCTTTGCCCGTGGTATAAAAATACAACCAGCTTGCTGAATATTCTTGCTGAAATACAGTCTGGGTCAAGTAACAGAAACACTGACATTTCATTAAAGTAACAGACTGAAGTGGGTTGAACATTTAACTATTGAGTATTATAAGATACAGGTGATAAATATAGTCATCATCTTAAAGTTAGCTCAGTCACATTTGCAGGAATTTCCTTCTGGTATGATTAAATCCACAGAGATCCTTTAGGCCAGCGTCAGAAAGTTTTTCCATAAAGAGACAGGTAATAAATATATCAGACTACACAGGACACTGTCTGTCACATCTGCTCAACAATGTCGTTATACTGTAGTGTGAACGCTATGGAAACAAATGAGCATGGCTATGTTCCAAAAAATTTATTCACAAAAAATAAAACAGAAAGCCAGCTGCATTTTCCCCAGGGGCTGTAGTGTGTGGTTGGTTGGCTTTCAGAGTAGGATTGAGTGGCTATGATAACAAAATTCACACCCTCGTTTACATTATGAGCTGTAAGAAATTTATATTTTGTTTAAATCACCAAGAGGGCTATTGGGTCCTTCCAAGGCCAAGTACCCTGCTGAAAGGGAAAAGAACCCAGGAATCCAAGTGCCACCTTCATTTAGTAAAGCAGACTCACTATGGACAACCCATATTTTATATTTGTTCTTAACTAGTTTACAGAAAGAGAAGTTTCGCTGAAAGAATTTTGGGTTTCATGAAAAGCCCAAGAAATAAATGTTCAAAACAAAAGTAACTGCATTACTAATACTCTGAAAGTCTGATAGTATCACACATTTTCATGATGTGCAATGGAATGGATCCTAAAACATTCCTTCTTCCTGAATTTCCCTGCACTGAGCTCATCTTTTGAAAAAAATTGAGAGTGATTATCTACTGTTAATTAACAAAATCATACTCTGCTCATCTACATGTGCAATTTCAACTGATAAAAATATTAATAGAACATGGTTGATCTTTACCTCTGATGTTTTAAGTATCTGGTCCTAACAGGATAAGGTCTCTCAAATAAAAATTAAAAAAAATAGAAGAGCTAAAGAATGTAGCCATATTGAGTTGCTTAGGATCAAGGGTGAAAATTATTCTTAATAGATTCCTTTTTATTGAAATAGCTATAAGTTATTATATTTCAAAACCTATTCAGTTTAGCAAGAATATCAATAAGTAGGTCTTAAACAGGACTTTTCTACTTTTAATCACTGAAAACAATTTACTAAAATAATTATAAAACAATGCATCTTGAGGTAATTTTTTTTGTTCACAATAGAGCCAAGTACCTTGAGTCCTATGCTATAAAGTATTATTAGTTCATAGAATTCATATTGCTAACCCATTGAAAGAATAATTTGTGGGTCCATTGTTATTTTCTTTAAATTTCAAGAGAAAAGGATTCCTCAGATTTTTATCTTCGGGAAAAATTTGGCTATGTGATTTTTGAAGTAAAAAATATTATAGAAGAGAGAAACACTAGGCAGCTCAACAACCATTGACTATGATTTTATACAAAGGGGATTGGAAGAAACAGTGTTATCGCATTGGAGCCAATTTTACTTTCTGGGAAAACGCCACTTAACAAATCAACACTAATTATAATTATACCATGATAAGATGCAAAAGATAGAGGATTCTTTGCTTCCTTAATTCATATAACTTTTCTTATTTAGAGAAGTTGGTGGAGAGAGGAGTAGACCTAAAAAATCGTACAAATAGTTTTTTAATGAAAAATTCATTTCTGAGGGCATCTCAATGTTTTCAGCTTCCTTTTTTGTCCTTTGTAATTTAGAACACATATGAGCTGAGAATTATTTTTATGTAAGTGGATTATGTAAGTTAGGCAATAAAGCTAATGGCTAAACAAGTTTCCACTTAAGCTAATAAGATACTTTTCTTGTTACTTTAGTCAGTGATTTTCCATATGTTGTCCATATTTGATTTCCTAGAATACTTAGGATGAACAGAGAAGAAGGAATGAAATATGAGAAGAGGTACATCTTAATCCTGAAATCAGAATTGAGTTATTTTTTCGCATACATTCTTCTCCTTAAAATGTCTTCATGGGCAAACCCATGTGTATACACACACACACACACACACACACACACACACGATGATTTTGCATCCACCATCAACCCTGTGGATAAAAATCTGAGAGAAGGGTTTGGAATGAAAAGGAAAACAGAACAGAACAGAACAAAGTGACATCACTGAAAAAATGCTGTGTCTCACTGAAGTGCAATGAGGGTTGCAGGCCCTGTTCTCATAGGTAACATTGTGAGGAATGATGGTTGTCAATATATCACTGCTTCTCAGTATTTCTGTCGTTTTAGTTGAGTGTGTGAATTCTCTATGTTTACTTTTATATCTATTTATGGTTAAAAGATGAACAAGTCTGATCAATTATGATAGAATATATTTATGTCATAGTAAGTAGTAGGAAACCTTTGAGTTCCTATAATATGTAAGGACTTCATTATTTGCCAAGACTACATTAAAGTATCATATCTAAGCCACATACTCAAGGAGATTATAATCTAGTTAAGAGGTTAAAATGTATTTTTATATTCTGGCTCCCTGCGTGTCTTTGCTCAAATCACCTTATGACACAAGAAATGTTTTATTGTACATTGCCTTGGGTGAATTTTACTCTGGATGTCAGTAGGAAGATTTAGAGTACATTATAGAATTTACCAAAGACAATGTTCAGTAACCTAAAAGTCAACCAACTGCACTGTATTCTCATAAAGGACTACATATGACATGATTTCACTTGTATTAAATAAAACCATAATATGTAGGTACTGACAATACCATATATGATTTTGATTTCCGCTATCCACGTATATTATGAACTGAGAAAGTGTCGAGATAAGCACATCTGAAATGAGTAGTGCACAACCCTCTGTATAATGTATAGACCTGTATAACGTATATCATATTTTCCAAACACTGCTTACTGCATTTTCCTATTAATAAATCACAGTACACATTATTGTTTTTAAGGTTTATCTTTGTTTATTCTAATATATACCAAAGTTATTTCATTCTTGAATGCTTTTTTCATAAGGACATTTATATAATATTCTTGAGTGCAATTTCAGAAAATTTGTTTTAGATAATCATCATCCTTCTTCCTAAAACATATGAGACTGTGAAGATAGCTTCAAAAGGCCAGTTTGGGTACAAATAAAATTAAGCACTTATAAGATGTGTATAGATTGGAAAATATAAATATATTGGGATGATCAATCTGTAAAATATCATTTTTAAAGAATATTAGGGATTCTTGGGTCATATCCTAAATCTTTTGTGTTTGAGATGATTATGCAACAAATACCTTGTCCACTGAGGGTTACCACTAACTACACCAGAGGTTCTGTGTGAGTTGAAAAGGACATCCCACCCTCTACATGTATTCTAAGTAGTTCATTCCAAATAGTCTAAGCATATCTCATGTTTTCAAAGTTTATATATACAAGGAAACTATAGTAGAAAAAATTCACCATAATGTTTGTATTAAGGTAAATAACCTTTTGTAGATATAATGAATTAAGTTATTCTAAAAAATAGTCATAGACTAAAAACTATTTAAAACTTAATTGCTAGGATGATTCTTACAATATAAAATCAACATGATACTTCCAAATAATAAGTACCAATAAAGATTTGAGGTTCTTTTTCAGTTTTCTGTTACATATGCCTTACAATTTTAATTTAGTTTTGGCTAAAATATTCCTCAAAGGATATTTTCCCATAAAAGTACAAAATATGCACAGTATATAAGGAGATATGCCATAATTTATAATAAAAATGTACATATAATAGAATCCAGAAAGAATATGTTCAGTTTCTGAATTCTCTATGTTTACTTTTATATCTAAAGATGATGTTCGTCCAAGAAGTAGCTGATTTTCATGGTGTAGTTCTGAAAACATTTTTTCATCTTTATCATACACTGATTTCTTTCTAGGCAAACTTATTTCAGATGTTTTATACAAAATCAAGTTTTAAAAGCAAGTTGTAAGCTTAAATCTATAATTTCTCTCCGATGGGACACAATTTTAGAAGCTTGTCAAAATACAATTTTCACCCTGGCCAGTTTTGCTCAGTGGATAGAGCGTTGGCCTGGGGACCAAAGGTTTCCAGGTTCAATTCCAGTCAAGGGCACATGCCTGGGTTGCAGGCTCGATCCCCAGTCGGGAGCATGCAGGAGGCAGCCAATCAGTGATTGTCTCTCATCATTGATGTTTCTATCTCTCTCCCTCTCCCTTCCTCTCTGAAATCAATAAAATGTATTTAAAAGAAAAACACACAAAAAAAACAACGGTTTTACCACAGCAACACATTTGTAATATATGTTCTCCAGGATCCATAAGGTTGGCTTTCTACAGCTAGGTGGATTTTAATAAACAAACTAGAAGAGGAAGTTTGGTGCCAATAGTTTTGGGTTTTTTTTATCATCCCCCTTTGAAAGAATATCTTCAAAAGCAATTATCTTTGTTGTCTACATTCTTGGTTTGAAAGATATGAAAGCATTTTTTAAATTTATCTATCATTAAGAGTATTGCAGATGTCCCCTTTTTTCCTCCATTGATCCCCTCCACTCTGTTCCCACCCCCTTCACCTCATTATTGTTTGTGTCCGTGGTAATGAATATAAGCATATAAGTTATTTGGTTAATCTCTTCCTACTTCCCTCTCTCCTAAATCAAGATACTTAGGCATATACTTAACCAATAAGGTAACATACTTAGGAATAAACTTAACCAAAGAGGTAAAAGACTTACAAGCAGAAAACTACAGGACAATGAAAAAAAAAGATAGAAAAAGATATGAACAAGCGGAAGAATATAACATGTTCATGGATTGGTAGAATTAACATCATTAAAATGTCCATGCTACCTGAAGCAACCTATAGAGTTAGTGCAATCCCAATTAAAATA